AAGATATAAAGCAACAAGTTTCTCCCCATCCACCCCTCCACCATCGGTGCTACTTCCTTGCTCGTAGGAGGTTTTTGTATATTCTTCATACCAGCGCATGTATATCCCTTTCTTTAAAAATACATAGATATGGGGCTCCTGGGTGGCTCAGTCGGTTAAGCGTCTGCCTTCGGCTCAAGTCATGATCTCGGGGTCCTGGGATGGAGCCCCGCATCGGGCTCCCTGCTCAGTGGGAAGCCTGCTTCTCCTTCTCCCTCTGCCGCTTCCCCTGCTTGTGCTTTCTCTCTCTGTGTCTCTCTCTCTCTCTCTGTCAAATAAATAAATAAAATCCTTAAAAAAATAAAAATAGATAGAATATTATCCATTTTGTTTTATTCATAGTGTTTGTTCCATAGAGTACATCATGGCCTTCCTTCCCTAATAGCGCTTATAAACCTTCATCATTCTTTTAACAGCCACATAGTACTCCACTGTAGCACATACTGAAAATGATTTATCTAGTTCCCTATTGATCTACTTGCAAAACAGTCTGGTTTTGATAGGAAAGAATCCAGTGGGGAAAAATAACTTGAAATTATGATTGTGAAATATTGTGATTATTATCTTTATTTTTATTTCTAAGAATATACAACAGTGTAAAAATGTTTTCTTATATTAGTATCTGAAATTTTAAAATGAATATGGAATAAATCAAATTTATTAATTTGTCATTTGAAAAAAAAATTTTTTTTAAAGATTTTATTTATTTATTTGACAGAGAAAGAGACAGCGAGAAGGAACACAAGCAGGGGGAGTGGGAGAGGGAGAGGCAGGCTTCCCGCGGAGCAGAAAGCCCGATGCGGGGCTCGATCCCAGGACCCTGGGATCATGACCTGAGCCGAAGGCAGATGCTCAACGACTGAGCCAGCCAGGCGCCCCGTCATTTGAAATTCTTAAAAAGAAAAAAAAAACCCTTCTTTTTTTTCTAGGATGTTTCAGAATGTCCTAGAGTTGTTTTAGGAATTAAGATGAACCCTGCATAAAAACCCAGTGCTCTTTGAAATTACATGGTACTTAAGTGTTTCTTTAATTTGAACATGTTATTGAAGGTCACATGTTATTTACTGTTTTGTAGGCCAGCTGTAATGACCATAGCTGATGGAATATATAAGGTTTGCATCCACGTAGGATCAAAGCTGATTGAGAAGATTCTTCTCAACATTTCTCCTGACTGGCTCAACAGAGTTATAGGTAAGATGGCAGCACACCATCGAGAGGTGGTTGGTGGTGAAACCACTCGTTTCAGGGGTGTTGACAGTATGTTGGAACAGAAAGAACACTCTACTGTAAATTAAGGTTTTTTTCCTGTCAGTGCAAAAGCTTGAGTGGAACAAAGAGGATGAAGTTGGAAGATAAGCCTTGCCCTACACCTGCCATGACAGCCACGCTCAGCCTTGCATCTCTGCGGGTCTTTTGCAGTCCTCCCCTCTCCCAGCAGTAGGGCACCACCGATGCTCTTGATCTTGGAGGTTTCCTGCCCCTCCCCCAGGGATGGAGGGATTTTTCTTTTATCTATCCTCCATGTTCAGCCCTGGGGCAATAGGATTTGCCGACCTTCCTCCAGCAGTTTAAGGCTCTCTTTCCTTAAAGGAGCGTCCAGAATGGTGTTTTGTGTTTTCCCTTGTGGCAGCTTCTCCCTCCCTTTCTCCAGACTTCACCATGGTTGGAAGCTTTCTCTATGTCCTGCCCTCCGTCCAGGCTTGTGAGCACCTGGTGGGGACGAGAAGAGCCCGCCAGGGTGCAGACTCCCCTTGCCTGAGACACTGGCCCACACTTGGCTTTCAGCAAGTCATGAAAAATTGTAGCGCATTCTTCCTTCTTGCTTGTTGGGTGGATGTGTCTTCTTTCTAAGCTCGCCGCGGTAACCCTGTGCTCCTGCTGTCTCCTCTCATTTCAGTTGGCTTGGCTGCCTCACTGCCTCGGCTCTCCTAGAGGCTCCACAAATTGTGATTTTGTAGTGTCTTCAGTTTTTCTAGTAATTGTTAAGGTTGGAGCCATGTTCTTTCCAGCTTTCCACATCCTAACCGGAAGTCTGTCTGTCCTTTTTTATTCATTGTCTTTATTACCATTCATTCTTCTGGCTGTTTTGTTCCCTCTGTCAGTGTTCTTTGTTGTATTTTCAGTCTTGTCTTTTCATTTTTGGCACAATACCAGTTAGCCTCCACTTCTCAGAGGAGGACTGTTCTCAGATCAAGTCTGTGTTCACGTTTTGCCCATTCCCGAGTCAAAGTTGTACTTCCTGGCATTAATTAAATTGCAACCCTAAGTGAAATTGTGGGCACCAGTTATAAAGTGGTCATCAGACCATTCAAATTATCACTAATCTTGATTTTCTTTTTTAGCTTATCCAAGTGAAAATACAAAAGATTTAAGCATTGTAGAGAATTCCCTCACCTCCAAAAACATGTGATTGGCTGCCTGGGAGTCCATAGACCCAACTCAAGAGGGGTGGGTGGTGTTGGTCAGGGAACGAGTGTAGTTTGAGTGGCTGGTCGTGCCTGGCCAGCCTAGCATTGAGCACCCGGCTCAGGACCTGGACTTGATAGCCTAAAAAAAAGGAAGACTATGAGACAAGTGCAAAAGTACAGTGACATCTATCTGTAATTTCAGTATTTTTATATTATCAAGATTTGATATTCATTAAGTCACTGACTCAGGGTTCTGTTGTATAAACTATCTAGATAACTGGTAAGAGCTGTCGACTGGATAAAGAAGATGACTTTTCTGACATGGACACGCTCTTTCTGTGTCAGGCTTGACTTAGGAAGATGTTAACGTCGTTCTTTCCTCTGTTGTTTTAAGAAGCCAAGAGCTGTGCCATAGTAGGAAATGCCATCACTCTGAGCAACCTGTCCTCGATCAGCAGGCATGGAGGGTCCTCATTCTAGAACATCTTCAGCACCTGTGACTAGAAGGAGAGGGGATAGAAAGGGAAATTTCCGGTGGGTGCGGGGCTTGAGAACCAAGGGGACAGTGACCCCTTGGCTGTGTGCGTTTCTGGCGTACAGGCAGGGAGCCTAAGAGCTGCGTGTTTCCGTGTTCCTCAGCACCTCCCTCAGAGATCACCTATGCCATGGTGGCCGCTGACTTGATCCACTCGCTGGTGGCCGGCGGCGGCGCCCCTTGCGCGGTGAAGGCGCAGAGCCTCTTCGTGTTGGATGAGAACAGCTGCCCGCTGCAACAAGAGTTCTCCCTACTGGATTTTTATCCCGACAGTGGCAAGCCTGTACCCAGTGCCCTCCTCTGAGACCGGAGGGGGAAGTGGCAGGTACTTCAAGGAAGATGGCTGAACTGATTTGCCTTTTCGAGAGAAATGAATGACAGGGCTTTACCTGGGCGTTAAAAAA